CCAATCTCTCAAGAATATCAAAATCTTTATTTGTAATCAATGATGAAGATGTTCCTTTGAGCCAATCATGGGTGCATATCAGTACTTCAACAGTTGTTGGTGTTAATGAGCTGCGATATGGATCAAGCATCCTTTCTCCTGTGCTAAATGCAGATTCAGACGCCACCGTGCTTATTGATATATCAAGCACGTCTCTTGCAATGTTTGCAAGGATGGGATAATGACCAGAATTTACTTTCCACCACTCTAGAACATTTATCTCCATGTTATGCTCTAACTTCTCTCCAAGATAAGTGGTTAACTCATTATCTGCATTGTCACACCCTTCTGAAAGATAAAACTCAGCAGTTCCGTATGGATGACTAACATTACCAAAAACTTATGACTCATGTGGATTACCTCGAGGAGGCATAAACCCAGTATAATATTCCTCATAAATAGATTTCAAGCAAGACTCTAAGGTTTCTTTCAAGGCATCAACATCAACCTTATTATAATATCGTCGTACCATCCAATCAACCAATCTAACCTTGCGTCTAGGGTCAAAAACTAGAGCAATCAACAACATCATGTTAAGCTTCCCATGAGATCCCCAATACTTATCATACTTCTTTTTCATCTTTTGAGATGCTGAACGTAGATGTTCATCTTCACACGCACACATATCCATAATGCTCTTTCCAATACCCAAGACCTCAAACATATAAATATTGCTTGTCAAATAAGAAGACCCTGATATATGTACAATAGCATCATAAAACAACTTCAAGAATGGAATGATTAAGTTGATATGCTTCCAATCGTCTTTCGTCGGGACACCTTTTCCCTTTTTTGTCAACCCATTCACATACCTAGCACAACATAAAATGTTCAACATCAATTCAACTTTATATAAATTCTTCCTTAAAACATAAAATGTCAAATAGTTTAGTCCTGTGAAGTTTCTTATTAAATGGTTGAAGAGGAAAGTATACATGGTTGACATATTGTCTTCAATAATCCTTTTATAACTTATGACAATGTAATTAGCTGTTGTAGCTATTACTTGTTACACTAAGATAAATTATGTACTTGCATAATTTTAGAATAGCCACGACAACAACAATAAAGTGTTACTGTGTTAGTTTCTATTAATATATAAAGTTTTTATCACATTTATAACTATCATAATAGAATAGCTAACTACCTCTATATGATTGCAAAATTAATTCACATACCTTTTATTTCAAAACCTAATTCTTCAAAGGTTCTTTCATGTTTTGATGCAGATACTAACATCAAGTAAGTTGAATTCCAACGAGTCTTAACATCTAGAGAAACTGAACCTTTATAGTCCATGATCTCCTCATCAATACATGCCTTGAATTTAGTGAGCCTCGTGGGAGAAGATCTAGCATACCAAACAGCATGGCGAACTCTATAAACAGAATCATCAATGTCTTTCAAACCTTCTTTCACAATTAAATTCAATATGTGTGCGCAACACCTCATATGAAAATGGTTTCCACTCATAAATAAACTATTCTTAGACAAAAGCCTTATCTTGAGACGTTCAACCCCAATATCATTAGATGAAGCATTATCAACCGTCAAACTAAGCACGCGGTTTAAACCTCAACTGTTCAAACATATCTCTATTGTTTCACAAATAGCATCCCTTGTATTACTTGTGACTTGACAAAAAGTTAAGATCTTCTTCTGTAAGTTCCAATTATTGTCCATGAAATGGGCCGTCACACACATATAGCTCAATTTTTGACAAGAAGTCCACATATCAGTGGTGAGACAAACTCTTTGACAATTCAGAGAGAGAAAGTTTTTCAAAATCATTTTTTCTATGTCCCATAGTTTCAAGACATCACGTGCCAATGTTGTGCGCGAACAAATCTGAAATCTTGGTGAAGCGAGACTCATAAATTCATGAAAAGACTCATGTTCAACCTTCCGAAAAGGAATCTCCATGTTAATGAACATCTTAACCATTGCTCTTCGAATATCTTCTTGGTCAAACTTGACAATTAAAGGAGATCCAACATGTTCTTCAGCACTTGTCATAGAAGATGATGTCCTTTGTCTCTTGTAAACAAGGCATCTTGATAAATGAGCATGCATAGAACTAGTTCCATTATTATACTTAATTTTTGTGTCACAGTACTTGCACGAAGCTTTTTGTTCTTCTTCTGATGATATAATGAAATGATTCCAAGCCTCTGAACGGTTCTTTCGCTTCTTAGTGTGAGGAGGTGGCATTTCATTAGAGACGGTAGGTGGAGGGGTTGAAACCGTATTCTCGGACGTTGCATACATTGGCAAGTAACTAACATTCGTCATCTTGATTCTGTTAAATATAGGAAAACAATTTCATATTAGAAGAACAAGATCAAATCAGACATTTTAGATATTGGTCTATAAATCAAATTACATACACAACAATCATGTGTTTATATCAATAAGTACAATAGTTATTAGAATATCAACTTGATAAGCCTTGTTCTAGGAATAGGTACAATAGTTATTAGAAGCTACAACATGCTAAAGTACAAGGCGATCTAAAACTCAACCAAACTAAAAATACAAACCAAACCTAGCTTAGACCATCATCAAACTAACTAAATGATCTCTAAACTTAGGATAATTCCAAACTCTATACACTATCATATTTATAACTTTCCTCCCTATATTTGTATTATTTACTTTTATCTTTTCATTATGGTATCTCTAGATCCCATACACACAATCTACAACTGCCACTTTAAGAACCTTGTTCTTCTAACTTTTACCTGCATTATGCCTTGTAATCTAGTTAAGTTCCTCTTTCCATGCAAGAGGAACATGATTAATGTGAAGCCAACACATAACATCTTTCCAAATCTCTTTTAAAACCATACAACCAAAGAATAAATACTCAATAGCTTCTAATACAGAACAAAAATTGCACGTAAGATTATCTACCAAGCTAAATCCGAACAATACCAGTTCAAATTACTTGCAGCAAACATAATTCAGGTTGCATGGAGATACAGGAAAAAACGTCTAAGTAGAGCTAATACCAGTCAATGATTATCATACTGTGTACTCTTTTAATTGATTTGAATCCTTGGAATAGAATAGTAGTATATCCTCGATTAAAAAAAGCTGCAGCTTACTGATTATTATGTTGAAATATAGGGAAACATTACAGCAACCAGAGTCAGCATGATAAAGAATTAATTTATAACTAATTAATCTCTACCATATCAGAACACAAAAATATATATAATTAGGAAAATCACATACTACAAACGAAAAAAATAAAACACAAACAAGACAAAAAAGAGGAATCAGATCACCTTTGAGCAAATTTTTCAGCTTTACTTGCAGCATCGGGGACCGAAGTATCACTCTCTGCACGCTTCTTGACAAATCAAAGTTTACAAATAATGTAAACAAGAAAACAACAACAATCACCACCACCAATTACTGAAAGGAACTGTAACCAGACCCACAATTACATAGACTAATCCCTCGTGATTGACCTATCACAACATTTATTTTTCATACGCACTGCCCAAAGATCGAATCCTGAACCAAGCATCTAATTGTGATAGTTATTTAAAACCTTGGAAGTCACATAAAGCATTTCTAATGAAAAAACAAAATAACACACAACAAAACAACGAATCAGATACAAAAACTGAATTTTTTTCTTCCAATAACCGAACAATAAGATGGAAAAAGAAGAAGAAAATAACATACTTGAAAGAGGGTATGGAGTTAAGGAAGAGATTAATCCAAGAGATTTCGTTAGGAGTAGGTTTTCGAGGATTATCATAAGGGAATCTATAAAGAGGGTAATTTCTTTAGTTTTTTAATGGAAGGGTTCCAGAGAACAACACGACAATTATTGGCTAAACAAATGAGACCATAACAAATTAAGGATTTCAATGATAAAACAAAATAGTGGGAAAACTCAGATTAGCAATCACTGAGAAAATCAAAGCCGCACACAAAAATCACATTAATATTAACAATAACTGCAAAATGAAGTTCGTATAAACCATAAACACTAACATAAAAGGAAGGATTTGAAAACAAACCTGGAATTTGAGACGACTAAGAGGAATTGAGGTATGTGAATATACAATGAATTTGACCAAATTGAGGTATTAAGACAAAGCACGATTTCATAGGATTTGGGATTAGGGTTTTGAATTTTGTTCAATTTTGTTATGTAGTTGGGAGAAGGGAGAAAGAGACAGGGTTATGAATCTGAATGTGGTAACCATTAAGCTCAACTGATTTAGAATATGGATACTGGTTTTTTTTATAATTTTATTAAATGGACCACCAATTTTGAAATATACTATTGGGTTGTGTTTTAAAATTTAGATTAATTTGGATAGGAATTTAGTTTATAGTTATTGGTTATATTGCACACCTAGATCAAATTTTTAACTAATAATTTAAAACTGAACTGCTAATAAAGATGTATTACATATATATTGAGATAAGAAAGAGAGATAGTTTATTAACTAAATTGATGAATTGGATATCTTATTATATTTTAACAGCCATAAATGTCTTGGATACTAGATACTTTAACGGTTGATAAATAATTATTAATGTTCATAATTAAGAGGAGAGAAAGATAAACTTTAGAGAAAAAATAGATGTTTTACAAGAGCAAAAAACCTAGGACTACGACCATGCTTTCACACAAAGATCACGTGAGAAACACGCAAGTTTGTGTTTACAAGAAAAGTCCCTCTTGGATTCAGCCACCATTCTCCTTGACCGTGATCTCTGTTTTAAACCTTAAACCTAGTAAATAACGGCTAAATCGAGGGCTATTATCGTCTTTTCAATCGCAGTTCACATTAACGTCTCGATTCGCATCCCAATTTCACTCTAAACTAAACTCCCACCTTCAAAATTTAGGGTTTCTCTTTTCCCCTTTCATCTCAATTTTCTTGATTCCGTACCAATTATCGAACTTTCTTCTCAACTCAATCGTCGGAGTAATGGAGCTTCTCCACTCCGACGAAACCGTATCGGAAGATGCCGATATTCCTGAAGACAACAACACCCCGAACGATTCCCCGGACCCCACCGCCGGGATCGAAGACGGCGCGACTCTCGATGTATCGGGAAAGAACTTGGAGTTTCCGGTGCCGGAGAATTCTAAAGACGACGCCGTGGAGAGTTTATACATGTACAAGAACGTTTACAGTTTGATTCCGAAGTCGGTGGGTGGTCTCGTAAGGTTGAAAACGCTGAAATTCTTTGGGAATGAGATTAACTTGTTCGCGCCGGAGTTCGGTAATATGACGAGGTTGGAGCGGTTGCAGATGAAAGTGTCTTCGCCTGGAATTGGTGGGTTGCCGTTGCATAAATTGAAGGGTTTGAAAGAGCTTGAGCTTTCCAAAGGTCCTTCAAGACCTTCTGCGTTTCCCATATTGACTGAGATTGCTGCTCTCAAGTGTTTGACCAAACTTTGCATTTGTCACTTCTCTATAAGGTTTGTGTTTTTTTTGTCTCTCCTCGTATGATGTTATGTTTAACTTGTCTCGACTTAAGTGTGATTGTTTCTCGTATGATGTTATTTTTTACAATTCTTATTGATGTTGTAAATTTTGTTTTTTTACTGTAGATACCTTCCTCCGGAAATTGAGTGCTTAAAGAAATTGGAGTATCTTGATCTTTCATTCAATAAATTGAAGACATTGCCCTCAGAGATTAGTTCTTTGGAAGTATTAATAACCATGAAAGTTGCTAATAATAAGTTGGTGGAATTACCGCCTGCTATGAAATCACTATCAAGGCTGGAGAATCTGGACCTGTCAAATAATAGGTTGACTTCGTTAGGATCGCTTGAACTTAGCTCAATGAATAGACTTCAGAACTTAAATCTTCAGGTACCTAGCTTTGATTTGTTAAATCCGGCCGATTCAATATATGTATATTAATGTTTTTAAGTATCTGTGTTCTTTTTAGGAAGTGTTTTTTCTGTTTATGAGTTTGCTTTGTCTATGGGTTCTTATGCCTGTATATACAGATACGTATGCTGGTGTTGCTTAATTTCGTTGTGAAGAGAGGGGAGTTAGAGAGGACTAGAGTGCTGTAGGATTTGGGAGAGAAGAGAGATGAACTGAGAATATCTTGATCTTTCATGCAATAAAAACAAAGACATTTCCCTCAAAGATTAGGTCTTTGAAAGTATTAGTATCCATGAAAGTTGCGAATAATAAGTTGGTGGAGTTACTGCTTTTAAGAAATGTTTGCCTTGTACAATTTCGTCGAAACGAGGGAGTTGAATTAGTGACGACTAGAGTACGATAGGATTTAGGAAAGAAGAAAGATAAACTAGGAAAGAAGTTTTGCATAAAAAACTCAATTACATAAATATCATCAGTTCAAGTTGTTTTAACACGAACATAGACGACTAGAGTGCAGTTTCATTTTAAATAAATACTCACCACCCTTGTTCTTGTAACAAGGTGACATTTTATCCCCTGGATCTAATGTCCGTTTGCTGATGGTTTACGGGGATCTTTTCACCGCTTCTTTCTTATTGGTTCTCTCCATTAAATTGTATATATTTAAGTAATTTTCCAACTTTCTTATGCCACATGTCATACTATAACAACACTTTTGACCAGCAACCAATACTTCTGTTGAGAGACATTCACAATGTTGATGCTTGCAGAACCTGTGTTGTATGGGGAAATATCAAATTAGAAGGGTGACCAAAGCAAACCTAAACGAAATATGACAAGTAAAACCCAGGTTCTCGTGTTGATCATGCATACATGCAAAGAGAAGGCAATATGGTGCTGCAACTATGAACACTAGGATTGGAGCAAATATAACTCAAAATTTTCCTGTGTGACACATTTCATAACTAGTACAGCTCTAATTCAGTGTTCACACAGACATTCATTATACCATCATATAAAGTGAAGTTAGGGGTGTGGGGCAATATCAAATCATTTGGGTAATGAAGGGGTGACTAAAGTCATAGGGCAGTGAGAGAGTATTCTTACTTCTCTGATATTTTCTGTTATTTTTATTATACACACCTTGAATTTTTATTTTACTGTGTTCCCTTCTATTCGTGCAATGAAAAACACGTTCCCATCATATTCATTTGTTAATTACATATGATGAAGCACGCACACCTCTAGAAGTAGGCGTGTCGCGTGTACCCTTCTATTCATGTAATGAAAAACATGTTCCCATCAGATTCATTAGTTAATTACATATAATGAAGCATGGACACCTCTAGAAGTAGGCGTGTCGCGTGTTCCCTCCTAATTTAACTATAAATTTTCAATAAATTAACAGATTAAGTGTCTAGCGGAGTGCAAATGATTAACTGAGTTGCAATGTCTCCTAAATCAATAGTAGTAAGCCAAACATATTGCCACCAATTTGGGGTTTGAGTGCAATGTCCCCTAAATCACACCAAAAATCCACAAGCGATTTCTCAAATGGTTGACATTGTTTGCTTGAATCTGATGTGCAACCTATGTTCTGTTTCCTTTACCTGAATTTGTATTTAATATGTATTTAATTTGCTGACATCTGACAGTGTTTCACATGGAGGGACCGCATTGGAGGTGCCTTTGTGCATCCAAGGTATTGATTTAGTAGAGATGTAGCTTGCCTGTGTGAGATATGGTTAAACTATAATGATCATGGTTGCTTGCAGTAGTGCATATATTTATCTATTTGATGTTTCTTCTGTGTGTTATTAGGTTCTAACTGCGTAATTTTTTATTTGAATTTTTATTAAAATTTCCAATGATTTTCATATGTTAAAGTTGTGTAACATATTTGTTTATACATTTCAAGTACAACAAGCTGTCCAGCATTTTTCAAATTCCTTCATGGATATGCTGTAATATGGAAGGAAATGATGGAGATAGATGCAAAGACAATTATATCAGCTCTTCTGTTGAAATGGATGTCTATGAGAGCAATTTACAGGAAAATGAGGAAACATTTTCTCATGGTAAGGCGCCTTTCGATTTTTGTTTCGTCCTTCCTTTTTTGTGTATGCTCTCCCCTTTTAAATTATGGATGATTAAATCATCTGTTTGGGAATTGGGATTGAATTTCACTTTCCTGTGAATTCTTTTGCAGGACCTCATAACACCTCATCTAGCGTATTAACAAACTCCTCATCTAACAGTAGATGTTTTTCAGCCTGGAAGTCGGGTAAACGGTGGAAGCGGCGGCACTATAAACAGCAGAAAGCTCGTCAAGAACAGAAAGCTCGTCAAGAGCGGTTGAATAACAGCAGGAAATGGAAAGGTGTAGATCATGACCAGTTGTTAAGCAAGAAGATCCACAGAATTTCTGAACCTGAAAATCTGGATACTCTTGTCTCTGAAAATTGCACAGAAACTGTACCAGACAATGGGAGCTTGGATGGCAATCATAAAAAAATATTCCCCGAAGAAGCAGTGCATGAAAATTTAATTGATAATGTCGACAACGATGAGGAAATTATTGAAAAACAGTTTTCTCAAGAAGATTGCAGCACCGCTGAAGGTAAAGATGAAATAGATGCATCCTCATGCTCCTTAGACAATAGCCGAAGTGAACAGGATGGAGCATCTTGTTCAGTTTTTTTGAAGTGTAGTTTTAAGTCAAAGAGGCATTCAGATCGGGATCTTGACAATCCTAAACCCTGCAAGTCTAGAAAACCGATTAGCGATGGCTTATTATTGTCTTCCAAATACAGTAAAATTTCATTTTGTGGTACCGAGGACCATCTATCAGATGGCTTTTATGACGCGGGACGTGATCGACCGTTTATGCCTCTTGAGAGTTATGAGCAAAATCAGTGTCTTACTTCTCGTGAAGTCATTCTGTTAGACAGGTATATTATTCCTATCACTACTACTAGTATATGTTATTGATTTTGTTGGGGTACATTAATAATAGTAGTAGTAGTAGTAGTAGTCATATTATATATTGGTATCTCTTCTGTGATACATTTTTATATAATATGACTGAATTATTTTTGTCGTGTTTCAGACATAGGGATGAACAATTGGATGCCATTATTCTATCAGCTCAGGCATTGGTATCTAATTTAAAGCAGTTAAATGGTTTAAACAAACCTGGGAGCCAGGGTGAAGTTGATAACTTGCAGACAGCATCACTGCTTGCACTCTTTGTATCCGATCATTTTGGTGGAAGTGATAGAGGTGGTATTATAGAAAGGGCACGCAAATCTGTTTCTGGCTCAAACTATAATAAGCCTTTTGTCTGTACATGTTCAGCAGGAAGCAGCACGAGTATAAATGCTTCAACTGAACCAGTTGTGAATGCCATAGGAAATATTAATCTTTCTAGGATCTCTGAAAAATCTCTTGATTCTGTTAAAAAAAGGCGAAATTCAATCATTGTTCCGATTGGCTCTGTTCAGTATGGTGTTTGTAGGCATAGAGCTCTGCTTTTTAAGGTGAGCAGTGTTGCTATGTTCATAAATAGTTTTGTTTATATGCATATTAGGATGTAGCTTTTTCTTTTGGTGCCTGTTATTGCAAGGACCTAATGCAAGTTATTTTTTGTTTATAGTATTTATGTGATCACATGGAGCCACCTGTACCTTGTGAGCTTGTTAGGGGTTACCTGGATTTTTCACCTCATGCTTGGAATATCATTTTGATAAAAAGGGGCGTTACATGGGTTCGAATGCTTGTTGATGCCTGCCGACCTCATGATATTAGAGAAGAGAAAGATCCAGAATATTTCTGCAGGTATTTATCGCCTCTTAGTAAAAAGGGATGTTCTACTCCTTTTTCGTATTGCGAAGAGGCCGTTTGGCTTGCTAAATTATATATTATTGCTTAAATTTAAATTGGTTATAGAATATGGGAGATGCTAACCTGTGTCCTTAGGCCGCCTGTTAAGGAACTTAATGTATAAATGCTATCTTAAAAGACGAGCATTCAATTCTTTAAAAATTAAAAACAAATTTCAGTACGAATTTTATACTTTTAGATTGCTTAACATGCACGCACACAAGTTAGCATGACCCATATAATATTGTTTTCATATTTAATATAAATTTTATATGTTGATTTATTGAAATATAGATTTTTTTACTAGTTCTGTTATTTATTATTATTATTATTATTATTATTATTATTATTATTATTATTATTATTATTATTATTATTATTTAATTAATAATTAATTAATCAACATTCATTTGGTGTTTTAGAACTTGGATTTGGTTTTGAATATTGGATATATATCGTACTATAGCATGCAAAGAGTATTGCTTAATTATCATACTGATTGTATGTTGATGACATTTACTTATCTATGCCCGATTTGTTGTTCAAATATAACATGTTATTGCTTCTGCACATATTATTTTTAAGTAGTTATCACTTATTTAGAAATTTAAAATTTGGATCTGTTTTTGAATATTAGATCTCATACCCTATTGTATTGTATTGTAAAGATTATTGCTTGTAAAGAATATTGCTTATGCATATGCTAAACCAATAATGGCACATTTGGCTCCCTCCCATGTAGTCAAAAGTATTTATAAAATCTAACCTCATCTATTAAGGTAAAAAGATATTAGTATTGTGTTGCTTTCTCCAAACTGCGGACGTAAAAAAGGATAGGAGATCGGATCATAGCCCTTAAATTTGTAGTGGAAGAAGACACCTTTAATATCAATAGTGCTTACCCACCTCGCTTAGTGGAACATCTTAAAGTAAAATATAGGGAGGAATTTGAACACTTGGTTCAAGATAATACGCCAAGGGGAATTTTTTTCTTGGACGGGATTTTAAACAAAAATTTTAGGAGCATATTAAGAGGCTTTGAGGGAGTGCATAGGGTAGGTATGGGGGGAGGTAAACGCAGAGGATAAATCCATCCTAGATTTTTCTTATTAGGAAATCAGATAGGAAGATTTGTTTGGACCGTAAAGTTATACCGGGAGAGAGTTTGACTACTCAACGTAGAATATTTGTTATGGGTGTTAGAGTAAGAGGAGTGCAAAGAGAGGAAGCTTTGTGGGAGTGCATAGGGTAGGTATGGCCTTGGGGAGGTAAACGCGGAGATAAATCCATCCTAGATTTTTCTTATTTGGAAATCAGATAGAAAGATTTGTTTGGACCGTAAAGTTATACCGGGAGAGAGTTTGACTACCCACCATAGAATATTGGTTATGGATGCTAGAGTCAAGAGGAGTGCAAAGAGAAGAAGCTACGGGGTGCTCAACGGATCAAGTGATGACATTTCAAGGTGGAGAAACAAAATATTTTTCAAACAATATCTTTGGAGGAGGTTTTGGGCAGGCACGAGGAAGTGCAAATGATGTGGGGCAAGATGACACAAGATGTTAGAGAAGTAGTAGCAAAAGAGATGTTCAAAGAATCAAAAGGTCTTGACCTAGGGGTAAAGAATCGTGGTGGTGGAACGAAAGTGTTCAAAGTAAAGTTCAAATAAAAAAGGAGTGTTTTAAAGATTGGTCTAAAGTGCATGATTGCCGAAACTTGAGAAATTATAATAGAACTAAGAGACCAAGAAGACGGTGAGTGAAGCAAGAACTTAAGCTTTTGGCGAAATATACCAATCCTTAGGAGCTAAGGAGGGAGAAAAATCTATATAATAAGATTGCTGAGGGAAGAAAAAGAAAGACAAGAGACTTGAATCAAGTGAAATGTATTAAAGATATAGAAGGCAAAGTTTTGGTTAAGGAATATGGTATAATGGATAAATTGAAGAAGTATTTTCACAATTTATTTAATGAAAGATATGAAATCTTACTGGGCTCTAACATGCTAGACATTAGAGAAGAGAATCAAAACTATAATGATATAGTTCTATATGGAGAGTCGAGGGACAAGTTAAATGAGATCGTTGGAGACAAGCTTTAAAAGTGTATGACTTTCGCATAAGCAGAAGTAAGACAAAGTATATAGAATGTAAGCTTAGCAAAAGGAGAGGTGTTTCTAATCTAGATATGTAAGTTGGAGATCATATCATACATCAAATTACGTGGTTTACATATCTTGGATCCATAGTACGAAACAGTGGAGAAATAAAAGGAGACGTAAACCATCGAATTCAAGCTGAGTGGTTGAATGGAGGACCTCAGAAGTTTTATGTGACCCGATGGTACCACTCAAATTGATGGGAAAATTCTATTGGAGAACTGTAAGAGTAAGACCAATGATATTGTATGAGACGAAATTTTGGGTGGTAAAGAACCAACACGAAAATAAAGTAAGTGTGGTTGAGATGACGATGTTGCGTGCGTTGAATGTGTAGTAAGACTAAACAAGTTCTGATTAGAAATGACAATATTAGAGGGAGTGTTACACAAATTAGAAAAGATGATGGAAAATAGACTTAGGTGGTTTGAGTATGTAGAGAGAAAACACGTGAATTATGTAGTAAGAAGGGTAAATCACACAAAGGTAGTCTAACAACTAGATGTAGAGGAAGATCTAGAAAACCATAATTATGGTGTAATTTGATCCATGTAGTCGACCCTACTTAGGGGGTAAAGTTTGGTTGTTGTTGATTCTCCAAACTGTCGATGCATGTAAGTAAGGTGGTATGAAGAGTTCTTAGTGGTTAGTGAAATTTCAATGGTAAATGAAATTTCTTCAGCAACACTAATGCTTTGTTTGGTCGGGGAAGAAAAATGAGATGATAGAAAGAATAGAATGGCTTGAGAAAAAATTAAGAGCAGAGAAGATAAATGAATTGAAGAACAGATGAATTTATATGTTTATTGGATATTCAGAAAATTTTAAAAAGTAGTTTGAAAGCTTCACTCCTCTTGTTTGGCTGGATGGAATGAGAGAAAGGGAAATGAAAATCCCCCCTACCTAATTTCCTGCAATGGAGAGAATGTTTTTATCTACCCCCTCTTTTCTTTCTTCAACTAAATGATGTTTTCGTTATATTTCTCCTGTTTTCTTTTCATCTGAAACAACCGTTGCATATTTTTTTTTGCTGCCCGAAAAACATTTGAAACTCTTGCTTTGATGGAATTATACAGGCTTATTTATAGTTTCCTGACTTGGTATTTCTAGGTACATACCTCTTCGTCGAACCCAGATTCCTCTTTCGACTAGCATTCTTCCTAGTCCTGATTATTCCTTTCCATCTCTGTCTAATTGTGATGAACTTGAGAAAAAAGCTTTAACTACATTAGTTCGGTGCAAATATGGATCAGTTGAGGCTGCAGTGAAGGTATTTAATCATCCATGAATTGTAGTATGGCCCCCTTAACTTTTTATTTTATTTTAATTGTTTTTCCCAATCTTCTGATTTTTCGGATATCATACAATTTAATGCATTTTATGCAATATCTTTTATGGTGTTGTAGGTGCGTACTTTGGAGGTACAGGAAAGTTCAGCAGACAAAATAAAAAACTTTGAATATAATTCTTTGGGAGAAATCAGAATTCTCGGTGCTTTCAAACATCCCTGTATAGTGGAAATATATGGACACCAAATATCATGTAAATGGACCATCTCAGCTGATGGTAATCCCGAGCATCGTGTGTTGAGATCTGCAATTTATATGGAATATGTGGAAGGAGGCTCCTTAAAAGTAGGATTTTCTTTATCATTTCTTTGTTATTGATAAGATATTTTTGGTTGTTTTACTAACCCACCACTTCGTTTTCTTATAGACCTATCTTGAAGAGTTGTCAAAAGCTGGTCAAAAGCATGTACCTGTGGAGTTAGCCTTGTATATTGCCAAAGATGTATCATGCGCTTTGTCAGAGCTGCATTCAAAGCACATAATTCACCGTGACATAAAAAGCGAAAACATTTTGTTTGATTGTGATAGGAAGAGAGATGATGGAACTCCCACCGTGAAGCTATGTGATTTTGATAGTGCAGTGCCATTAAGATCACCTTTACATGCATGCTGTATTGCACATGTAGGAACACCTCCTCCTTGTGTGTGTGTTGGAACACCTCGATGGATGGCTCCAGAGGTCATGCGGACTATGTATGAAAAAAGCACTTACGGATTGGTAAGATCCTCCAACTTATTCGCAATTTATTTGATCGTTTTACATGGCATTAACATCGAGTGTTGTTTGTGTTACCTGACTTCTTATGTTCAAAAGAATAATAGTTCATTTGATTTTGATTTTGGAGTTCTATGAAATCGGAGGATATTGTTCTTGAGTCCAATTTTAATAAAATAATGAGAATTCTTGTGATTTTCCTGAAAGCTTTATTTTAGAATACGGACTTTCACTTCCTTTCATTTATCTTCTTACTTGTTTCAACACTTTTTTGTTTCAATTTCTTCTTCTTTTAAGTGTAAACTGTTTACTATTATTGCCACATTTCATTTATTTCCCCTCATTTGAACGAAGCTTGTGCCCATTTTTCTAGATATTGTCAATGATCGATACTACCTAGGAATGATTGAAATGATCGATACTACCTAGGAATGATTGATTAAATTTTTTTAACAGTTATTTGGGTAATTTATTATCCCCTCTATGGCGGAAGTTCGAGTTTCTTGGTTGCTGTTTTAAGGTGTTTTGACTTGTCAGGAAATAAATAAATTATTGATGAGAGAATATATGTTGTATAACAAGCTCAAGTAATAAAACTTAATAATAATTCAATAATTTTAGAAACTGTGATCTTTTATTATGCTTCTTGCCATTTTTTTCTTATTATACTAAACTAATAAATTTTCAGTTCCATCTCCTTTTTTGTTTTGTTTTGGTTAGAAGTATAAGTGCACATGTTGCTTATTGGCATTGAATTTAAGATATCATGTCTAGGAAAGGAGTAATTTGATTTGACTCTTGTCTTATGCACACGTTGCTTATTGTCCTTGAAAATAATAGGTATATCGGGAAATTAATTCTAGTTTACTGTGACTAGACATAGTCTTGTATTTGGTCCTAACTTCCTTCATTTTGCAACAGGAAGCTGATATTTGGTCATTTGGATGTTTACTTCTGGAGATGCTGACTTTGCAAATTCCATATTTTGGAGTACCTGATTCACACGTCCATGATAGTCTGCAGGTATGGTTGGTTGCATTTTCGCTTAGATGTATGTCGTTTTTTGAACTCTCTGGGCAATGCTCGTTCATTGCAGCCCCTTGTTTTAATTAATATTTCAACTATTATTGATACAGATGGGTAAACGACCACAACTAACTGATGAGCTGGAGGCGTTGAGCTCAATTAATGAACCCACGATGATTCAATCTGGTGAAGAGCTGGAAAAATCAGATGCTGAGACAGACACATTGGAGTTCCTTGTTGATTTGTTTCACAGGTGTGTCGAAGAAAATCCAAATGATCGACCTACTGCCGAAGAAATCCATGAAATGCTGCTTGGACACGCAAAGCACATACAAGTTCAAACCGTTAGGGAGATTTAAGCAGGCCGTTGTTGGAGTCTCCCTGTCCTGGTGAATTATATTATTATAACAAAAGATTTTCATTCTTTAATAGTGTGTTACAGTTTATCCAAGAATAATTGTTCTCACTAGTTTTTAGTCTTCAAGTGAGTTGTATTGTATTGTTTGTAAAATATTAAGAATTAGATCCATGCGGCTGTAATGTTATTTGATTGAGATCTTTGTAGCTAGGTCTCCTTTACAGATGTCGAGAAACTTATGTAGTTCAAATATTCTGCAAGTAGGACTGATTAATTTATTGACTTCAGTTGTAAGCTGCTTCATAGCAGAGTATTTTTCACAATTTTTGTACTGTCAAGTAAGATGTATTTTTGTTTGTTGGTTGTTTTTTTTTTCTTCTTGAAATAGTTTTGATGAGTAAATTTAAGAGTATGCTTGGTTGTTTTCTCAGGGATTCATCCCGAGTTTTTGCAATTTTGTTGATCTATGTAGCCGATCTCATTTGGTTGCCGCCTTCTAATGAATATTTTTGGTTTTGAAGAATCTGGCTTAGATGTTTTTGACAGCTCTTGATAGTTATTATGGCACATAAAGCTCTATATTTAAGCCTATCTTATTTTTGACCTGGTTTCACATGCTGCACTTGGTTTCATAATAACACTTCTTTATTCTTTTCCCAAAAGATAAAGTTTGTGTCCTTTTCATCTAATCTAACTAATAACAATTAATGAGGGAAATTTTTATTGGACACCATTACAGAATGGCACCAAACATATGACAGCGTGTACTCTATTAAATATTTAAATTTGTTTTATGGGGTTTCAAAACATATACTTAAATCACATAGCTGCTATTGGAAGTTGATATGTGGTCTTGGCACTAGAGTGCATCCAGAAGCTGCAACTTTGGACCACTCTACTCAACTCACATGATACTCCTACTCATTTCTCTCTCTCACCTCTCAATATCTCCTATATCCTTAACAAGGACCAGTATATCTGCTTTTTCATTAAAAAAATCACTTACCTATGTAGGGTTCTTAGAGTTTGGTTGGATAGAGGATTTTGGAAGAGAGGGTCATAGAATATTTATTCTTTAATTTTTAAAAAAAGAAAGCTAAACAAATTTCTTTTTAAAATATATTTGTAATTAAAATGTTATATGATGATCTATTACATAGCAAATTATAGACTTAACCATATAAAACTCTTCTTTTAAGATCTTCAATCTCAAATATTTTAGGAGTTGAGTTTTGAAAAATTTTAAACGGTATAAATTTTATATTTTGAACAAATTAAAAAAATATGATAAATAATTATTTAATATTTTAATTATAATTAATTTATTTTAAAAAATATTTTATAATTTCTTTAACTTCGGAGGAAAAAAAAACGAAAATTCTTATAAGCACAAACACCTATTTGAGTAGGGTAGAGTCACAAAATTTGAAATTGCATGCATGCATATTTTTTCCGATTAAAACCGAATGATGTTATTTTAAAAAAAAATAATTTTAAACATTAAATTAAATTTTCAGTTGTCCTATTTTGATTGGGCAATCGAGTTACGTGTGACTGTACCCAATTTAAATCCAACAAACACACATAGGGGTAGCAAACAGACAATGCCTGCCCCGTTTAAATCTGTCCCGTAAAAATCTACAAAAAAATGGAGCAGAGTGAGGCGGACATAGTTAAAGATGAGGGTCTAAAACCTAAGTCTTCTCTGTAAAAAAGCGAGTGCGGACAGGAAAAATTCGCAGGCACTGCATCTTTTAGGTCTAAAATTTTAAAATTTTATATTAATAATCATGCCCGCAAAAGCCCGCGAAAAAAAATAGAGTGAAATCGAACGGTCACATTAGAGAATGAAAGTCTAAATTCTTGATCCGTCCTACATTAAAATACGGGTAAAACAGACATACCCAATGAACCAGATCCGTTTTATCACTCTTTTATACACATCTAAGTGCTTTTATAACTAATTGTTTTTATAAGAGAATTTTGATTAGGGATTAGGAGTCTACATGAGTTGGTTGGATTGAATTTGGCCTAACACTTTTTCAATTTTGATTAGTTAGTTTGAATTTATTCTTTAATAGGTAATTTCACGATCAAAATCAAACTGACTCTTTCACTTTTAGAGTTGGATTTGCGAATTGTTTCAATTTTTTTTTTTAATAATTTTTTTTAGTTAAAACACAATTCAATATAATTATATTCATTTCTAATACTCCAATTAAATAAAATATATTATATAATATTTAATAAAATTCATCCGCATAATATAAACTTAATGATAATAATAAAAGATTTCTTAAAACATGATATTTTCATAAAATACATAATTTAAAAATAATGTGAAATAATTTAGAAATAATATAAAATAAAATAAAAAATAACATTTAATCTTAGTAGTAATATTGATATTGAATAAAAAATGATAAATTATTAATATCATATCAACGAATTGAATTAATGGATCTGTAAATTAAAAAACACAAATCTAATATTCAAATTAAAATTATACACATTATTGTGGGTTGAACTAAATATACTTATATAAATGAACAATTTCGAATAATTTATCATTTGAATAAAGAGGTTCAGAGGTCGACTCCACTCATAAACTCTCCTAATTTTCATTGATGATAACAAACCTAAACTAAGTTCTGTTTTTAAGCTCTAAAAAATAAATTTGAAGTCATTAATTTTTTTTTTATAATCCGTAACCAAGAGTCTTAACGCTAAAAAAAAACCACTCCCTTAAAAATCTCTAAAAATTTCTTAATCCAAACACACCTTTAAGGAATGCAAGCAATACCAAAACACAAGTGAAAGTGCTTTTTAAGATGGTTAGCTCATTCCTCAACATGCAGCATTGAAGACTGAGCACCCAACCCTATTTTGAAATTTCCTTGTGATACTTGTCTCATTGATGTTAATTTTCAATGTCACAATCACAACTAGCACTGAAAAATGACTTATATCAATATTTAGAACATTTTCCGAGTACACATGTGACAGAAAATTAAATAAAACCTAAAAACTAGAAAAATCTTTGTCTTTAGATGCTACATTGATATCAATGTTTGCTTTACATGGTGTTGTGATGTTGCCTATTCCTTTTCCTTCTCTTGTCTCTATTTTTCTTTCTTCTGACTTGATTAACAGATTTTGCTACAATAGTATAACTAGAGATTGTGACCCTCTAATTAACCAAACCAAGCATGCTTTTTCCTTTGTCACATGTGGACCACTTGTTGGCTCTTGCCTCTGGTTTCGAGCCAACCTAGCTAGCTGTTTTGTTGCAAGCGTGGGGCGTTTATACATAGTGGACCATGATGCTGAGTGTTATTGTTAGCAGTAGTTTTTTTCTATTATAGGCAACAATTACAATTTTGGCGCAACAATCTAACATCGTACCATAGTTATTTACTAGGAGAAATAGATCCGTATTCTCTCATGAGATCATCTATGCTAAATGCTACTAACAATATATCATATACCCACCTCTCAAATAAAAGTTTCCAAATCTTTTTAAACATAATTCATTTTTCTTAAGAACGAATATTACGAATTTCATCAATCAATTTTGCAGAATTAAAAAAATTAAAGGTTAGAAAAGAAGATATTTAAGATTATATTAATTTATGGAAATTTCTTTTTATATCTATATTTTTCAGATATACACATCCAAACACACATTGTGAATTTAAAATATTAAATTATTTTAAATATGTATATCCGAAGAAAACCTCTATTTTTTATTTTAAGAAAGATTTCGGATATACATATCCAAAATAATCTAATATCTCAAATTTCTTTTTATTTTATTTTAATTTTATTTAAAAAAATATTTATTTATAATATAGTTATAATATAATTAAATTGAGTTATTATTAATAAAAAATAATTTAAATTTATAATTAAAAATTAAAATCAAAGTAAATTTATGATATGAAATTAAACAATAAATATGATAATTAAATATATAATTATAATGGTGAAATGTAATTGTCTTTTAATTTTTTGTTTAAAATTATAAATAATTTTTGATAAAAAATATAAAAAGTATTTCTTAATTGTAACTTTAAATTAATTTAGATGATATTTTTTAATTTTTTAATTTTTATTATGGAATTGATAAGGACATTTAATGTTATTCATAACTAATAATATCAAAATAAGATATTTAATATTAAATGATTAGATTCTTATAAAAAAATTATGAATAACTTATAAATTATAGAGATGATTTATATTAAATACTTATATATCTCATAAGAATAAATGAGGTTATTTCGGATATTTATATCCGAAAATTCACTAAAAATAAAATATTGAATTACTTCAGATATGTATAATCCGATCACTTTTAAAAAATTGAAATTTAGTGAATACAAATACGCACTTTCAAATTCTGAAATATTTTAGATTTTTCGCCAGAGGTCTAGAAGAAGTATACTAAGTGTGGAAAAAATTTATCTTAATTTATTTTCTATGAACTTCGTAAGTGGTTTAATTCAGTGTTTGAGATAATTACTTTCATATTTACTATACCATTTATGGATTATATGTTGTGGCGATTAGCCGGACAATGCCTACTACTGTTTTCTTGATGATTATTTAGGATATATTTTGATTTTCGTTGACCCAACAAATCAAGAGAAGAATGCTTTAATATGCCCATTTGAAATATTTGTTTATTGAAGGATGCAAATCAGTTTATGCAAAGCTCCGGCCACATTTTAAAAATGTATGCTTTCTATTTTTTTCAACATGATTGAAAACTCTATTGAGGTATTTATGGATGCTTTTTCTGTCTTTGATAAAATATTTAATATTTGACCTAATAACCTAAATGTTATTTTGAAGAGATGCATTGAAGCAAATCTAGTTTTAAATTGGGAAAAATGCTTTTTATGGTAATCAAAGGAATTGTTCTAGGCCATAAATCACTTCAAAGGGCATTAAGGTTGACAAGCAAAAATTGAAGTGATAGAAAAATTATCACCTCCT